TTTGATAAAAATGCCCCGAGATTATCATGGAAAGTTGTAATATTCGTTCATTTTCCCTGAATCTTCAGGTTAAGCTTACCTTGATGTTCGAACACATCTGCTAGGTATGATACTCTCTTAAACCACTCTATGTCGTTTTAAGTATACCAAAAAGTCTTGTTTCCTTTGCACTTTCAAGAACAATTTGATTTCAGATTTCAATTCAAAAACACAATTTACAACATTTCGTTTGACAGTCAGCGTACTGTAGTGTAAAAGAGCAGAACTTCGTGATCTATATTAATGTTTTTGCTCAGTTCTTTGAAGGCTCCAGATTTCATATAATTTACGACTTAAACTAGCAATGGACTCTTGATGTCGATTGGTTAGGGTAATGGTTAGGGAGCTAAATCTTTTCTGTTTTCTGAAAGCCCGATTTTGAGCTAAACATAGATGGCGCACCATCCGTACAAACCCCCACAGCCGTTCTAACCCATTTTAATCATCCCGTTTAAAAAAAAATAGTATTTATTTTTTCCATGCTATCTTCACAAAATAGCAACTCTTCTTTGCTATTATCCGCATGAATATAGACACAGACTAGCAACTGCCAACACGAACTCACGTCTGTTGATTTATCAACTTGAAAAGCAAACAATGGTGAAAGCTTAATTTCAATAAAAATGTGTTATTTAACATTAACGTATATGCAGCGTTTGATGAGATTTTCTCCTATTTTTTTTTTTTTGCTTGGCATTTTCTATCGCGATTTCATTTGATGCTTGCACTAATGCTGGTGAAAACTTCCTGTTCGATCAAGTCTCTGGCGTTTGCAACTAGCTTCTTACCGACGAAAGAACTCCATATATTTGTGTGTGTGTTCCGAATGACTCGTCTCAAATGACGTTTTAGTTTTGAAGATTGTATACATGCGTGACTGAGAACAACTTTGTACAATGCGCTTTGTTTCTTCTCTATTACATTTCCAGTGATGTTAATAAAGCCGAATTTCAAAAATTTTTCTAAATATTTATGTTTTGTTTCAAACTACTAAGGTTTAGTATACCAGTTGGCGACCCCCCAAAAAGACCTTCACGACCCCCAGGGGGGTCGCGACCCCCAGGTTTGGAACCCGTGTTCTAGAGAGACGTTGTTAAGTAGCCAAAAATCTCCTGGGTATGTTTACACCCAACAATTTAATATCGCGGTATTTTTGAAGTCTCAACTCTTTTTTAAACTCCTCACAGGAGTGTCTCCCCCTGCCAATACTCACGTGCTCCACAGACTGCCCGGGGGTGGGGCAAGTTCTGATTGAGCAGGAGAAATGAAATACAGCTCCAGATCTCGCCTTTAACATCCAACATGCCCTCGGGAAATGCTCGTCATATTATATCGCAGATGTTTAAATATCTTTATTAACCCTTTACAGCCCAATGCGACATAAAGCGCGAGTTTTTATTCTCATGAATTATTTTTTTGTCTGGAAAGAAAACTGATATTTTATGCAACACAATTTACAATTTTTACTCCCCAATAGAATTTTTTTGAATATTAAAATGAACTGGTAGTCATTTTTTTTTCAGGTTTTTATAATCTTAAATGAAGTTTTTATAATCTTAAATGAAGTTTTTATATACTTATACCCGTTTTTTATGTTCATATTAAAAATGATTTTCAGACAAGTTTACTGTCGCATACACACGTGGCTTTGTCAACTTCCGGTGTAAAGACCTCGTTTTGAAGTAGTCTGTTTCATCTTGCCAGACACCGCTTATCATTAAAATGTATCAGTTCACTTATCAAACACTATCGATTACCGAAACCACTCAATCAAATACCAACTAAAACCACGCCCCGATCAAACCGAAAGTTCGATTCAGTTTTTATAGTTGCTACACCGCGTCATCGAGGCTATTGTTTCCTCCGTAACCATGGCAACCCATGTTTAATGTACGAGTATAGCGACGCATGCTACATCGGCATCACAGATTTTTTTCAAGTAACGCTACCTAGTCGAGTTTTTGAAGTGTCCTGTCTGCGCATGTCCCCAGCTGTGCACGTGTAGGTCAACACATCCGATGATTTAAATCAATACTTTCTCCACGTTTTTTCCCCCATCAATACATCATATGAAACACGTCGGCTTTGTTATTTACTCTCAGGTCTCATAAGTAAGAAACAAGTTACTTCTTGCCTGTGGATATATATATATATATATATATATATATATATATATATATATATATATATATATATATATATATATATATATATATATATATATGTTTTTAGCATATTTTCTACATAAATGATAGAATGATAGAACTATTTCTTCCGGTGGAGGAGAGAATTGCGCTCGAGGGAGTGGGGAGGGGGGGGGGGCATTCCCCCCCTCCCCTGAAGAGATCTTGAAAGAAACTCAGTTTGTGTTTATTGAAACTTGTTTGAATAATGTAACATTTGACTACAATTTTCTAATTTCATTATGTGTGGCAGTGGTCTCTGGTTGTCAACAAAATGGTTTTCTCTCCCAAACCACCTACCCTACAAAACGTACCAATAGCTTTTATACAATGTCCGGGTACATTTTATTTAGCAAATAAAAAAAAAAAGATTCACCTTCAAGTCATTTAACCGCCTTTAAAGTATCTGCCTGGATAAAGGTCGACAACTCTTACATGAATGTGACGGTGATCGGAAAACTGCGCTACGGAAAACTGCGCTTTCATAAGTGCGCAAGGGCATTTTTATTTTCTTAAAATTAGCATTTATAGACATTAATTGCATGTACACTGTAGCATTGTAAAACATGTTTCCACGAAATATGACAACATTAAAGTGTATTAGTACAATTAGCTTTTATTTGCGCATTTTTCTATTTGCGCAATTTTTCGTTGCGCAGTTTTTAGATTACACATTTCTCTTGGAACAGTATGTAACGTAGGCCAAATAGTATCGTTATGGTCTAATATCCGAAAGTCTAAAACAGTGCTGAAAGTGTATGATGTGAAATACTTAATAATTATCGAAGGCGTGTTTAAGACTTCAGATTAGTTGTATAGTTGCGGTATAATGATAACACTGGTTTTATTATATAGAAACTTGTTTGTTATATGTAAAAAAAACCTGATGGTAGTTGTTGAAAAAACACATAACCTCAACTATTAAAATGTTAAATAACAAAATCTTAATGTAATCACTGAACTGAAGAAAGAATACTTTGTCAACAGCCTCAAGAAAACATCTTTCTTAAATCTGTATTTGCTTATGGGTAACATAACAAAGTAGTATTAAGGAAGTTTACTTCAAAAGATTTATTAACTTATTTCACGTTTTACACATTTCACTAGCCACACAACATATTTTCTATTCACCGAAAGTTCGATAACTCACCAGGAAAATAATTAAGCTTCATAAAATTTAAAATATTCTCTTGCTTGAGTTAAAAGATCAAGTTTCTATGCCCAGGCACAATACGGCAATTAGCTAATGCCTTTTTATTCGGCTAAAAATAATTGCAACGATTAATTAATGAGGAGGCTCCAGGGATGTTGGAAAGGTTTCCGTATAGCCTCTGGAGCTAGCGGGAGCGTTATCGATTGCCCGGAGTGTAGGAATGTTTCATCTGCCCGGAGTGTAGGAATATTTCATCTGCCCGGAGTGTAGGAATGTTTCATCTGCCCGGAGTGTAGGAATATTTCATCTGCCCGGAGTGTAGGAATATTTCATCTGCCCGGAGTGTAGGAATATTTCATCTGCCCGGAGTGTAGGAATATTTCATCTGCCCGGAGTGTAGAAATATTTCATCTGCCCGGAGTGTAGAAATATTTCATCTGCCCGGAGTGTAGAAATATTTCCTCTGCCCGATGTAAGATGGCACAAATTATAATATGTGGTGGACATCTTTCTACATGGGGAAAATTGACATTTGCTTTGCATGGGGGAAATTTAGGCCCTATTTTTGATGCACATAGATGAATCGACATTTCTTGCACATTGGGAAATGGGCATTTGGTGAAAATAGGTAAAACGGACATTTACCTCACACGAGATAAATGAACATTGGTTTCAAATCAAGCAAGAGCTATACATTCAGCGACGAACATAAAATAATAGGCAGTAACAACGCTGTGTTTGTGTGGGTACTTTTAAATCTTTGTATGACATCAAACAAAATCACGCATGCGCACATGAGAGTGAATGAAAGAACCTTAACTCTCAGTACTGACATAAAGCCTTCTGTGAACGACGTTGGGACGTCTTGTGACGTTTATCTGCTCTAGCTTAGTGACGTCAGGCTATTTTTTTATGTTCAAGGTTTTGTCAACAAGGCACATCATGTTTCACACGGCACACAATCAATTTTTTTTTTACTTGGCATAAAATTTGATTTCTACCAGACAGCCCAAAATCTGATCGCACATGAGAGCCCAAAATCAAATTTCTTGCACAAAATCAGATTTCTCCAAGACAGCCCAAAATCAAATTTCTCTCTCACAGTTCAAAATCTATTTATATAGAAAATATATACTTTTAACAGTGTCTGCCCCGCCAACCCCCCCCCCCCCCCCGAAAATTTCAAGTGCCCCCCCCCCCTCCCGGAGAAAAAAAGTCTGGAAGAAACACTGACCCCAACACCCCCCCCCACACCAAACGACCCACCCTGCTGTGTAGCAGGCGTATAGATATGGACTAAACCACGGTCTCAGAACCTTGAGTGAGCACATACCATGTTACGAAATTCTGTCAGATTTTTTAAGCTGTCACGCGATTTTAAAAATTTTTAATTTCAAAGCTGCTGCATGGGGGAAAGTAAGCCCAGGGACGGATTATTTAAACACGAAATGCTTAGCTAATCCCAGCTTTCTGACCAGAAATATCTTTAATCCCTCAGATAAGATTAAACTATGCATTGGACGATTGATTTCAAAATATCACACAAGTCATCGCTCCCATTCTGTGATGATTCATGATTTTCTCTGTAACAATGTTTTATTTTCCACTTTCTAACTTGGCCGCAGGTTGTGTCTAAGACTGGCCAGGAGTTTGCCAGATAGGATGTGAAAAACTTGCGTCTGTAATTCAAATGAAACCTGTTGCATGGGTGGATGTGTGACCAAATCTTCCTTCACCGTCAATAAGGCTCACGATATTAAATTTCCAAGGTAAAGTTTATTTTTATTATTAGACAGAATAGCCATACCAATATAGGCAACTTCTTCTTTCCATGTGCTTGTAACAACGCTCTGCCATTGGGTCATCTATAAATGGTTGGAAGGAGGGGGGTCTGGTATCAAAAGTTTGCGTTTAATTCCCGCTAAACTTAAGTGTCAATATAGGTTTCGTCATTTATGCCTTGCTTTGATAAGTTAAGGTTGTTATTTTTTTTTAAAAGAAAAATTCCAAAAAACCTGCTCAATGACTTACTAGCTGCCCTATCCTGCCTTGATCTAAGTATATCTTTAAGTTTAAATGCAAGGGTTGACTGGATGTGCCTGGGAAATTTTTAAGGGTCCCCCATCGCCAGGGTGAAATTTTCACTGTGCATTTTTCCACCACTAAAGCCTGAATTTTACACCTAGATATTAAGGAATAGAAATGGTAAAATTATAAATACAAATTATTTTTTTTTCAAATGAAAACATTAATAAGACTATTACAGCAACTTTCCTGAGGGGCCTCAGAGATTTTGCCCGGTATACCGGCGGGCCAGTTCACCCCTGGTTAAATGTAAGGTTAGGGTTAGATAAAAGAATACCCTAACGTCAGTTCAGAGGCGTAGCGACGGGGGGGGGGGGTACATATGTCCCAAGAGGGCCGACCCTAAGGGCGCCAAAATAAGCTCATTTTAGCTGCTATTTTGAATTATAAATATAAAAAAAAATATATGGGGGGGGGGGTGCCAAATTGAAAGTTTGTCCCCGGGCGCCGGGAGTGGTCGCTACACCTCTGTGTCAGTTTGATATTGTGATGTACCCTGTTGTGTTGGTGCCAGGATCCAGCCCTTCCTGTTCAGTAAAGGCGATGCCGAACAAGCCCTGATCGACGCCGACGAGGGCGACTATCTGTTGTACGTGGATCATGAAAGCGGGAAACTCGTCCTATCAGTGAGGTAAGATTTAGAACTCTTCTATGTGGAGAGGTGACATTGTTAATGTGTTGATAGAAAGGGCAGACAGAAGGGAAGTAATGGCCCAAATCAGGGGAGATTAGTGTACAGAGTTGCAAAATCTACAAAATGGAGTCTAGAAGAATCGGATGTTGCCCAGAAGTCTATTAGAGAGACGAAGCTTCCGTGTTATTTCCCCCTCCCCATCCTATAGATTCTTAGAAAATGAGGCAAACAAATGTAGGCGGGGTTGCTTCAAAAATGTTTTGTCCACAATCGTAAAAATACTTGATACAAGGAATTTAACAATAAATACAAGAGCGACACTTATTTTAAGCGTTATTAAACAAAAGTTGCTGGCATTAAATTGTTAAAACAAATGTAGCTCCAATGTCAGTGCGGCAATGCTAAATTTTATTTCAAGATTTTTAAAAATTTTCAGAAGCAAATTTCTCCTGAAACGTTAGAAGTAAGCCTACTCTTTTCATCTAATTTAAAAATCTAAATCATCCCTTAACCCTTGTTTTGGGTCATTGCGACACCCAGGGCCGGCGCTACATATAAGGCGAACAAGGCGGTTGCTAGGGCGCCATCCCAAAGGGGCGCAAAATGTTTAATCACTATTATCATAAAGTACCTAGTAATTAATAACTTTTATAAAGGAGTAGCGATCTATTTCGGCACCCAGGACGAACTATCAATTTTACATCCACCTCACCCCAAAATTAGTCTATATAGGCGTATATTTATTCCCGATGGTGAAATTGCAACCCCACATCCTTAATTTGGAAAGGTCGGAGCGCTTTTTACCAGTCACTTTGCCTTTTTAATTTGGTGTCACATATTGATGTTCGAACCCTCGGGCAGATGAGGCTCGTTAGCTGGGGACAGCCACTCTTCTAGGAGAGACAACTCCAAAATTAAACAACTGCTGCCTTGTAGTTTGTTCTTGGTTGGACAAAGGCTATGGAAGCAAATCCAAAAAAGAAAAGCAGGCTGAAATCGGAGTCAATGGCCTCAATGGCGCATAACCAGTTGACACGTAACGCTTAATTGTGTTGGAGGCGTGGTCGAGTCGGCAAAAAGCTCATGGTTGATAAATTCGAACAAAGTCTCAAGTTCAAACCCACTGGCAGATAAATCTCGATCCCCTTCAACACTAATAATTAAGAACGAAGAAGAAGAAGAAAGACATATTGATGTAGAAAACGATTAAATAAGTTCGTTATTTAAGTTTCGAACATTTCAAGCGGTTATCTAATTTTAATAAGGCGTGTAAGTCTCGTTTTCTCTGACTTTGAATTAGAAATTTGTCCTGGTGTATAGATTTTTGTAATGACGGGGTGTTCAAAGTATTGTACTTGTTAGGTAAGTTTTGATGAATTGTTTAGATTTGGGAGTGACGGCGGAAGGCTGTTGCTGATATGTTCAGCAGGTATAAAGTATCGAAGTGTTAAAGTGTCTTAATTTTTATCTGCCTGTTTTGTAGTTGATCTAGTGGAATCTGATTGGTAATAGAGAAATGAGAATGCAGGTGATGAAGTATCGTAGTTTTGGAGTTCGGGAGTATTGATTATTGTGGTATTAAGGTATGGAATTGTATTGACTGTTAAAATGTAGTAGTAGGTCCAGTGAAATTGTTGTTGATTGGGAGTATCGTTTGTAGACCTTAGTGAAATTAAACGAATTGGTGTCGTAGTTCTGGAGCATCGATTCTACTTATGTTTAGGTATCGAAGTTTGAAATGTGTTGTGAATGTAGTAGAGTATATCGAGTAGTCGAGTTTATCGTAAGTTAGATGATTTTAATTCAGTACGTAACGCACTACAAATAAAGGTAGGCGTTCGCTAGTTGAAAAATCCTTAGTTTTTTAGGAATCTATATTACGACTCTTAAAGTATTAATATATAATATTAAATAGGATGGAATGTATAACTAACCGTAGACTTTTTCAAATGATGATTTTTTTTTTAAAATTAATCAGTAATTCTAACAATGTCTAAAATAATTATCCGTGTTTGATTATTTGAAAGGCGTCCCTTTATTTAGGCGATCCAAAAATTTTCAATATTTTTTATGGAAACAAAACTCTAAAAGAATGTCATCGAAATTGAATAGAAGTATGTTATAATAAAGCTACAATTTTTAGACTTTCAAACAAAACCTACAGTTAAGTATTCAATAGGTAACATGTATTGTTTTTACATGGATACATAGCTAATATAAAAGAATTGTTACAATTATTACGTAAGGAAATTTAGAGCGTTTTATTGTTTTTCAAGCATGTTTTAGTTATACATGGTTAATTTAGCTATTCTTGTGTAAGTTATTTCCCTTGAAAAAAAAATTGGTGTTTGGATTTTCAAATGGGAGATAATTCATTGCTTAACTTTAGGTTCATTTTAAATTCCTGCACCTTAGGTTGACCGCTTATATACAGTGGCGTAGCGGGGGGGGGGGGCGGACCGCACCGGGCGACACCATTTAGGGGGGTGACACCAAAGAGAAAAATAGCAAAATATATAGAGAAAAATGATAATTCCACTTAATTAAGAGATTAATTAATTCGAGTGTTAAACAGTCTTTTAAGAGCAAATTTGACAAATCCCGACAAGGGTGGAAGTTTGAGGGGAGGGGTGCAAATCTAAAATTGAAAGTTTGTCCTCTGATTAAATGGCGCACCGGGTGACACCCGACCTCGCTACGCCACTGCTTACATATAAATACAACTTTAAGTTATTCTTTGCTATTGTAAAAATTATATAGAGCTTAAGTTCTAAACAAAATAGTTTGGTAGGTTTTTTTTTAGCATTATCAAGTTGAAATACAAATACATCAGTAGCCTTTATAGATTGCAATACAAAGCAGATTCGTGCACTTAGCAACAGTTTCAATAAAATGTTATTACTAATATTACGCTTGCAAATTTGAATTGAAGGAATTAGTACAAACTTTTGCGTCGAAGGAGGCAAGTAAAATTTGATTTTGATGTCACTTTTAAATAATTGTTTTCATATACATATGTTTTAGTAATTAATTTGTGTGAAAAGGGGGCGTTTTAATAAGTTTTGCCTAGGGCGCTAAATAACCTTGCACCGGCACTGGGGACGCCACTTTTTCATCATAGCATAATCATAAAACAATTACTAGATTCAAAATCTATATCCATTGACCTATTGCCATAAGACAACAACTATATTCAGTAGCTATTAAAACAAAATGCGCACCCTTATGGAACAAATCATTTGAATTAAGCCAAGCTGATCACTAACCCCGCGCTGATTGTGTTTCAGAATGAAAAGCTACATACGTCACTACCGTATCTCAGAGCTAAACGGGCTCTATTACTTAGAGGGACAACCTTATGCCTACATAGACTCGATTATTTTATACCACAGGAAGTACAAGCTGAACGGTGCCAAGTTAAATAAACAAGTAAGTTGCGCACTGATGCTTTTGGGTTCAAATGGCAGGTAGATAAATCTGACTTGGAAGTTTGGCCTCATCCCCCCCCCCCCCACACGCCAATATATGTATTGAGGCCTTACCCCCTCACCCGCCCCCCCCCCCCACTATGAACAAAGGATTTTTTTACCACTCCCCCCCCCCCCCCCCCCCAATCCATCTATCTATCTATCCATCCATCATCACACATAGTCACAAATCGTTACCATTCCATCTGCTCCCATTTCATTTAAACTGTTATTTTTTTAAAAGATATCGCGATTTCTCTCTAGAATAATTTGCTGAGCTTGGTCAACATGGAATATGTTGATGAATTTATACTGCTCTTTACTAAATTACTTTTTATTTTTAAAATGCCAAATAACGGCTAACATTCAGTTGTAATGTAACATAATGCAAACGTGTGACGTCACATAACGCCAGTGCTCACAAAAATTGAAGAAAAACAAAATAGAAAACTAAAATAAATAGAATATATACTTTAATCAGTGTCCACCGTCCGCCCCCCCCCCCCCCCCATTTCCGGAAACTGGTACACTGGTACCTAGTAAAAGCCCATGCTAATATAAACAAAATGTTCGCATATAAATGATCAGTTATCTTAAACTTTATACAATGAAGATCACAAGTCACAACACTCCTGTAAACAGTGAGTCATTCAACCAAATTTATCCCTAGGCTTGATATTGATTTTATAGATTTGATTAACAGCTGTTGGATCCTATTTATAGGATTAGAAATTTTTCGCCAACAAACATTTTGCTCGCACATTTAAACAGAAATATTTGAACTTCTATAAAATAGCTGCTAAAAGAGAAATCGGATCTAAATAAATTAATTTTAATCAGAGTAAGCATGTCAGGGATAATGATCACATTAAATTTCCAATCCAGCTTTTATTAGTTTAAGGGAGATAATGAAAACAAATTTACTCCTTTTGGTCTGCAGTTTTTTTTTATAACCCTTAAAAATCAATGGAGATTATTAATAACAGTCCTTTTATTCATCTTGATGGCTCATTGAACTTACTATGACATTGTGAAAGGCTTTAATATTTTTAAAATTGCATTATCATTAATGAAAACTAATAATTTTCTGCGGCTTAGTTTAAAAGAAAATAGAAAACATCAATCATACATCATTGTGAATAAAATACCATCGTCTTCATGTCGCTTTGAAGAAAACATTTTACTTTTACCTAGTCTATATAGATCTATATATCTACATAGAACAGGGGTCGGCAACCTGCGGCTCGTGAGCCGCATGCGGCTCTTTTGATATCAAGATGCGGCTCTCCAGCTCCTTGATCAAATACTAGATCTAATAATCTTAATAAAAAAATCAAATATTTGAAATAAAAAATGTTAGTGGCTCTTTAAAACCAGGGAAATTTTGAAAATTATAACTTTTGGCTCTTCCGCTTTAAAAGGTTGCCGACCCCTGACATAGAATGTCTCTTTCTTTCTCTCTCTGTCTCTCTCTTTCTCATATGTATGTGTATATATTATATAATATATATATATATATATATATATATATATATATATATATATATATATATATATTTAAACATCATTGCACTTTAGTTTAGTTTTGAAATTATTTTTGCAATATTTGTTGCTATAGCGTAACTTTTACCCTGGGCAGTATACAAATACTTACAGGGTATGCTGCCACAAATGTTGTGAAACAATAAAACACGATGTGATAAACTGTTGACACTTCTCCCCACCTTTATAAGCCTATGTTTTCTTCTCTTTCAGGCTCATTTGAGTGCCAGAGTGGTGCAGAACTTTGCGCACCGTGTGGCGCGGTCTAATGGGAATCTCCAGAGCTACACTAACAAGAACAACCACATGGAATCCTCCCCATCCAGCATGTATCTGTCTGTCAATCCTAGTGCCAGGCATTCACATTCACGCACCAGTTCCAACGCTTCATTAATTACATCTTCTTCAGATTCTACTTGCAAAAAAAAACTTTTGTAAGGTGGATCTGAATACTTAATGTATATTTAGTTTTTTTTTATTCATTTAAGTGCAAGGTACTTTACTAGCTGTTTGTAAATACTTTTTCCTTATTAGATCTAATTGGTTGATTTATTATATTAGTTTATAGTTTTCTTTCTTTTATTCATCTAAGGATTAAAGTTTTAATTACATGTCTCTAGCTATACCAATTCTGTTGCAATTTTTTCAAGACAGCTATATTTATTTTGTTAATTAACTCATACATTTTGCTTAGAATAACTGTTCTTAATTGTGTTTCAAAAGTTAAGTTATATGTAAATAACATATGCTATGATTGAATCCTTTTTACAATATTTCTACCTACTTAAATGTTTACTATTGTAAAAAAAAACAATTTGCAAACTTTTTCTTTATGACAAATTTATGCAGAAATTGATAACTACTTTTTTGAAAAAAGATTTACGGTGACAAATAATCCACAACTGTTTATTAAACACTAATAACCTACTCCCAATTGCTCTAGATTTATCCTTTATGATAAAACTTGTACTGTAGTGTTCACAAAAAAAATTGACAGTGTTCATTTGCTCATCATGCTAGAATTCTTGTGATAAAACTGCTGGCTGGCCAGATTTGTGTACACTTGTACAAAAGTGAACTTTGTGTGATACATATCTATATAAATTAGACATATTTTTCTAGTCTATTTTGAGATTATTTATTATTGGAAAAATGTAAATTGATCTGAGTGAACAAGTTGTATTTTAATATTTTTTCTCATCTAGCTGCTGTGACACGGATCACCATCAGCTAAAATTAGTAATTAATTAATTTTTTTTGCTAATTTGTTGTTCATCACATTCCATGCATATTTTATGCAACAAAAGTTATTTAAAATTGCCTTTGAGAAAAGAATTAAAGATTTTTAAAATGTTTGCAGACCAAAACTTTTTCATTTTGCTAATTATAAAATACCTTTAGGTTTTAAATTTTAAATGTCATGAAATTAAGAAAATACCTTTTGCATTTCATCATTCTATATCCACAAAATTTAATTTTTGTCAGCTTTTTTTTTTTCATTTAATAAATTTTTAAAGTCGATTAAAAGTGCAATTGTTGTAATAAAAATAAAATTTAATTTATAATTTTTGATAGATTGCATAAACTAAGTAGCAAGTATATATTTTTTGTTTCATTAATTGAATTATTAGTTGATAACCCATTATTATATTAAATTGATGTTTAATTTTGTCTTCAGAATTAAAGTTTTAAAAAATCAGTGTTGATTTGCTCAAATTATTTCCGTGTTTTCTACCGGTGGTTTTCTTTAAACATTTTAACAGTTTTGTTACTTCTAAGAGTAATTAGCTAATACTAATTGTAATTTAACTTCATACAAGACCAGTATTAAAATATTGTTTTTAAAAATATGTATTTGTTTCTCTGGCAGTTCTAATTAAATTTTTTATGCAATGAGCATTTTACTAAATTCCAGAAAATCTAGCACAAAAGAAAAATCATAGCATATAAACTGTACCCAATACCCATACCCTCTACATTTAAATTTTATTAGGTAACAACTTGTAACAAAGTATTTTTATATGTAGAACAAAGTAAATGCAAATTTAGTACTCAACAAAAGCAAATTATTTAATTTAGTTCTTTATTTATTTGTTCTCATGTTTATTTATACTGACAAAAAGATCCAATTTTAGACAAATCTTTACAGAATCAGCAGACTTTATATGAATAACTGATGTAAAATGTTAATAGATAACTCATTATTATGTAAAAAAAAAAAAAAAGACAACATTTTAAGGAATGTTTCTTTTGGAATTTCATTGGAAACAAAATACTCAACACTTTGGTGTCAACCCACAGTGTACATGACTATGATTAAGGGGAAGGCACTCAATGGTGGTTTTTTTTTTTTTTTTGGTCTTGCATAGTTAAGGTTACATCACTATAATATCTTAACAGTCAACAAATAGGACAAAAATTGTACACAGCCCTACTGGGCTGAGTTGTTCAACAAATTAAAATCGCTCAACAAATCAAGAAAAATGTACAACAGTAAAAAATAATTATTATAAAAATATAATAGCTGATAATAAAAATCTCTTTTTTTATGAGAATTGCATACAAATGAAGCAGAAGAGCCTGTGACAGATGTACGTTAACTCTGTGTAAACATAATTAACGTATTGTGATAAATAGCAATGGCGTAAACATGAAACCCTGGTGAAAACAAACCGGAGTGATACATCTTTATTTTAAAGATATAAATCTTGTAGAGACAATTATAGATCCTAACTTAACCATCTTAAAATTTGGTAGTGATTTTAAAATAGAAAGACAGGTAGCCTATATATTTATAAGAAAATGTTTTTTTTAAACAGTATTTAACAAATAAGACCATCACTGCAATTATGAATCACTTACTAGTTGTAATTGAAAGGACTGTAATTCCAAATAGATAATTTAAAGAAATTCACTAAAAAATGCAAAATAACAAATTTATACCTGAAATTTTGAGATTCTAATTAAAACTTGTCTGTATTGCTAAGAAAAAGGATTTGTAAAAAAGATGTTATACATTTAATCTTTCATATACTGCTGTTTCATTTAATCATACTTTCTTAACAAGAAAAATTACACATTAAATCAACGCATTTCTAGAACAAAATTGAAATAATTTGTTACATAATAGATGAAAGTGGGGGAATGGTATAAACAATGGAATGTACATTTTGAAGGAATGTTTTATAAATATACGAAATATTCAATGATATGACAACTAACTATATTACAAAATCCCAAATGTAACATTTAACTGATAAAAAGTTAACACAAAGAACAACTATACAGTTATTGTTATTCTATGGTGATAATTTTAAAAATTACACTTGCAAAAAGTTCAGCTGTTTGTGAGGTAACTTTTCCATGGACAATTACTTCACTAAAGGAAATTTTAATAGTATATGTTTAAATATTCTAATGCAGTAATTCTTAAACTTTTTAGACCCACCAGTTTCATTTGCACATTAACCGAACCCTCCTTAATAGTTCTGACAAAATCTGATCGTGAATCATATGAGTTGGGTGTGTGTCTTAACCTCCAAAGATCCCTAGAGACAGGCTCACCAAATCTCTGGGGTTCATTCAAACTCAGGTTTAGAACCACTGCTCTAATGTTTAATCAATGAAAATTATTCTAGCCGATTTAAAAAAAAAAAGCATTTAATTAAACTAAATTTTAAATCTCAAAAACATATCTACCTACAAACTGATTCATTGATGTAGACTCACATATAATTATCACCTTACATGTTTAAAATATCATTTTGATTTGTTAAAATAAGATCTACAAATAATTATAGGCCTATAATTTTGTTCCAAACTATTCAAACATTCCAAAGGTTATTTTAATGACTAGTGAACAACGCACATGTATACAGTTTCTTTTATAATTATATCGGTAATGGTAATAATTACATTATTAATGGTTTACAAAAACAAACTTTTGGAAATATTTTAAACCATAAATAATGTTTTAATTATTGTATTTGAAATTTTGTTACATGTTAAAATCTAATACAAACTGAACTCATTACTAAAATTTATGTTTTAACAGTCACTTAAACAAAATGAAACACAAAGCAAAATATGATACATGTTTGGAATGTAATATATTTGAAAATAAAAGTTATGAAAATGTTTTTATCAAATTAAAAAGATGAATAAATGAATTATCAGCTAATTATCTTTGTTTTACTGTTTTAATGTAGTAGGCCTATTTAAAATTATTGTGTTTTAATGTTATTTTCTGACTAGCAGAATAAACAGTAAAACTTGGAAAAAAAATCTCATCTAAACATGTATTTAACTTGGTCAAATTTTCATATTTACCAAAATATTGCAGTATTTCTTTTGAGCCTTCAATGACTTTAGAAACTTGAGATGAGGATATTTATTGATATTAAGTAATTTTACTGTAGCATAGAGTGTATTCTTAGAGTAAATTTAACAGGTGAAAGTACAAAGACATAAAACAGTGACTTCTATAGTTATTTGGCACATTTATATTTGAATATCTTTGACCTGTTGCAAGTTGTTTACATTTTCTAGCTCAACTTAGACCTTTCAATACAAACTAGTTCATTATTTTCATTGAGGTGAAATATTAATTCCAACAAAACCTTTGGCTGAAACATGTATTGTTATCTTATCATTACATGTTGAGCTTAGTCTAGTTTCTTTATCAATGAAGTGTTTAAAAACTACTTACAGGATATGGAACAAAGTATGTTTTAATACTTTTTTTGTTTTAAAGAAAAATTTAATTTCAAAGTTTAATTTTGATAACTTGTTTGTTTTAATGTTAAAATTCAATTTTTGTGAAATTATAAATAACTTAATAAAAATAAAATAGGCACAGCCTGTCAAATAAAATGGAAGTTTTTTTTTTTCCAGTTGGTCAAGCTAAAACTGAACATGGTAAAAATAAGATTGTAAACTATCAGAAGTGATCACAATTAAATGAATAATTACTGTACATTAAAATAATAATTAGATGGTAAAACTCAACAGACGACCTTTGACCTAACACTGCCTTTGAAATTGTATTGTGTAGTTCATGACCACAAAGTCTGAACTTGACTGCAGTTGACAAGCTTGGTCAGGAGACTGAAAAAAAAAACATAATTAAAAACTGCAAGGGTTATTGTTTTTTATTCTAACAGTGGAATAGTATTGGGGAGAAGCTAGTGTAAATCTTGTATTTGTTTCATGTCTAAAGCCAGTTGAACTTTCATACATTCTCTTGTTTATAATTGGTAGACTACAGTACATACACAGGGGAAAGAGGAGATAATAAGGTCTACAGTGGCCACCTAGAAAACAACTGTCTATAAGCTATGACCTCAGGAAAATATTGATTATCAGGTGCAAAAAAAAAATGTTCTTACCACTGAATGTCCCAGCAAAGAGTGGATAACTCTAAAATTCAGATAAGTTTTATAGTGGTTGCCTATCCTAACAGACCAAAATGCTTGGTGAGTCTGCAAAAGTATTAAGAAAGAAAATGATTATCTGTTAGCAAAATATTTCTTTTAACTTATATTTTTTAAAATTAAAAATAAATGTTATTGTGATTAACGGCTTTTAATTGGTGATCTTAGACACTTCTCTAAATGAGGAGAAGCTATTTTGTATGTATGTAAGTGTGTTTGTGTATTAAAAAAGAGAAATGAACAAACCTGTTGCACCAGTTGTCCTACAACTTCATTGGTCTGCTGGGCAGGTGGTGGGCAACTCCACAAAAATCTGGACGAGCACAGAGCGATGTAGCTCATGGTGGGTGTACTGAGGACAATAAGGGATGCTGATTAGTTCTCTCTTTGGTAGACCATAACAGATGCTAATTAGTTCTCTCTTTGGTAGACCATAACAGATGCTAATTAGATCTCTCTTTAGAGGACCATAACAGATGCTGAGTAGATCTCTCTTTGTGATTAGAGGACCATAACAGATGTTAATTAAATCTCTCTTTGTGATTAGAGAACTATAACAGATGTTAATTAAATCTCTCTTCAGAGATGCTGATTATTAGTTCTAGATGCAATAGAAAGGTGCACATATAACTGCTAATTTGTTGCAGATGCTTTGAAAAGTTGGACAATTTAAAAAAGTGGTAGATAATCAGTCATTTGTGGTTTTTTTAATTAGTCATGGATGCTTTGGATGGACAGACATTAAATTAGGTGGTTTATTTTGAATTGTTTTAACGTTGTAGATGCTTATGGTAGGTAGACATAGATAACAATAAGTAATGATTGAGCTATTTTTAAAAATCAGCAATTGATGATGTATTTGGGAAGCAATTAATTAAACATTTATTAATGTTACAAGAAGCATAAAAAATAATAATAATATAAATTCTAACATTTAAACATGATGGGTAGTTATTTTCAAATGTTTGCCTAATGGGCAAAAAAACATTTTAGTGAGAAATTTTAGGTGTTTAATTTCAATTTAATATTTAAGTTAGAAGTAGAAGTGAACTTACGATAGTTCCAATTTGATCTCATCGTAACCAAAAGATTCGTTGAGTGGAACATAGTACGAGTAGTTATTTGTCCGACAACCATTTACCAGGCAAAATACATCATCTATGACATAATCCAGTTCTACAATACGAATGGTTGGTCTGGGTGCATCATCTAGGAACATAAACACATTTGTGATTGTATAAAATACATCCAATTTTAAAATATTAACAACAGCGTGTATTAATCACATAATTTTATATTTTTAATATGTACATGAAGTATATAAGATATTTACATAGGTTTTGTAAACAAATGTTTCAAAGGAAATTATGTGTACACATCCTAGTGATATTTATGTTTTGTATGTAGGAACTCAGTAGAGGTCAACAGTCATCAAAATACGGCCACCCCCACCCCCTTTAAAGTGTTGAATGTTCATGAGTAATAGGACTAAATCAAATGTATACTTTAAAAGGCTAATGAAACACTGAGCTGATACAATGGTTATTGTTTAAAACTGTCTTCTTATTTTAATAGTTATTATTTTAGTACTTTCTTCTAGCAAACAAAGTGACCTCTCCTGCATAAACAAAATGAGTACACACCAGCGCCTCTTCTCCTGCGATATTTGCCATTTCCTCCTAGGTGGGTTATTACATTGTACTTAGGGGAGCCTTCCACAACATTGTCGCTGATGGTTTCTGACTTGCCAGGTAGGTTGAAGATAGTTGCCACATGGGGTATGGCAGTACTCTGCAAAAGTAAAAATAATAAATGCAACTTATAATGCAACTTGCAATTAAAAAATGAATTAAGATAAAAGTTATTAAAAAGTATTTTTCATCATCTTGTATGTGCCTATCTTTTTGTTTCTTCAATTCTAAAAAAAATCATCATTTGGATTGGATGATATCTAAATCTATATTCTGTAACAATTTATTTTCATAAAATAAGTACTTTGCTTTTACATTTTTTTTTTTTTAGTGAGAATTTGAGGCATCAGTTGTGTGCTATGACATAGAGCATAGTGAACTTACAATATATTTGTTAACAGATGAGTGTACTCACAATATATTGGTTAACAGATGAGTGTACTCACAATATATTGGTTAACAGATGAGTGTACTCACAATATATTGGTTAACAGATGAGTGTACTCACAATATATTGGTTAACAGATGAGTGTACTCACAATATATTGATTAACAGATGACTCCTCCTCATCACCTGTGGGTTGCTGCACCATCTCCCCACTTTGGTCACCTGTTAAAATATCTGCAATAGCCAGAAAGTTGATGAGTTTTAGGTTTTAATATATCATTTTAAATACAAAAACAGCAGTTGATGAGTTTTAGGTTTAATATATCATTTTAAATACAAAAACAGCAGTTGATGAGTTTTAGGTTTAATATATCATTTTAAATACAAAAACAGCAGTTGATGAGTTTTAGGTTTAATATATCATTTTAAATACAAAAACAGCAGCTGATGAGTTTTAGGTTTAATATATCATTTTAAATACAAAAACAGCAGTTGATGAACGTTAGGTTTTAATATATCATTTTTAATACAAAAACAGTCAGAAGTTGAATTTTAGGTTTTAATATATCTTTTTAAATACAAAAACCATTTTCACAAAAAATAAAATTAAGTTGCCTATGTTTGTAGATTTCCATGAAAATAATTTGTAGTTGCATTTTAAATAATAATAAAAATTACTCTTAGTATATAGGCTTAATATACATCAAATAAAACAATTAAAGAAATGTTATGAAAGTTTCATTCAATGTAATATTATCTTAGTAAGATTTGTAATTGACAATTTGTATTAGTGTTAATCAGCAGATGCCAGTGTGGCTATTTATTTGATTAACAGATATTTCTATAGAATTTTATTACATAACTTATTTACCTCATGGTCTTTTAATTATATAAATTCATTTATATATTGATTTTCATTAAGTAAACCACTGCCTATGCTACTTATAATTAATATCTGAACTGAATCAAATGAAACTATTATCCAAAGACAATAAAACTATTATCCAAAGACAATGAAACTATTATCATAAGAAACTATTATCCAAAGACAATAAAAGTATTTTCCAAAGACAGTGAAACTATTATCCAAAGACAATGAAACTATTATCCAAAGATAATGAAACTATTATCCAAAGATAATGAAACTATTATCCAAAGACAATGAAACTATTATACAAAGACAATGAAACTATTATCCAAAGAAACTATTATCCAAAGACACTGAAACTATTATCCAAAGACAATGAAACTATTATCCAAAGAAACTATTATCCAAAGATAATGAAACTATTATCCAAAGATAATGAAACTATTATCCAAAGACAATGAAACTATTATCCAAAGACAATGAAACTATTATACAAAGACAATGAAACTATTATCCAAAGAAACTATTATCCAAAGACACTGAAACTATTATCCAAAGACAATGAAACTATTATCCAAAGACAATGAAACTATTATCCAAAGAAACTATTATACAAAGACAATGAAACTATTATCCAAAGACAATGAAACTATTATCCAAAGAAACTATTATCCAAAGACAATAAAACTATTATCCAAAGACAATGAAACTATTATCCAAAGACAATGAAACTATTATACAAAGACAATGAAACTATTATCCAAAGACAATGAAACTATTATCCAAAGACAATGAAACTATTATCCAAAGAAACTATTATATAAAGACAATGAAACTATTATACAAAGACAATGAAACTATTATCCAAAGACAATGAAACTATTATCCAAAGACAATGAAACTATTATCCAAAGAAACTATTATCCAAAGACAATGAAACTATTATCCAAAGACAATGAAACTATTATCCAAAGACAATGAAACTATTATACAAAGACAATGAAACTATTATCCAAAGACACTGAAACTATTATCCAAAGAAACTATTATCCAAAGACAATGAAACTATTATCCAAAGACAATGAAACTATTATACAAAGACAATGAAACTATTATACAAAGACAATGAAACTATTATCCAAAGAAACTATTATCCAAAGACAATGAAACTATTATACAAAGACAATGAAACTATTATCCAAAGACACTGAAACTATTATCCAAAGAAACTATTATCCAAAGACAATGAAACTATTATACAAAGACAATGAAACTATTATACAAAGACAATGAAACTATTATCCAAAGAAACTATTATCCAAAGACAATGAAACTATTATCCAAAGACAATGAAACTATTATCCAAAGAAACTATTATCCAAAGAAACTATTATCCAAAGACAATAAAACTATTATACAAAGACAATGAAACTATTATCCAAAGAAACTATTATCCAAAGACAATGAAACTATTATCCAAAGACAATGAAACTATTATCCAAAGAAACTATTATCCAAAGACAATGAAACTATTATCCAAAGACAATGAAACTATTATCCAAAGACACTGAAACTATTATCCAAAGAAACTATTATCCAAAGACAATGAAACTATAATCTAAAGAAAATGAAACTATTATCCAAAGAAACTATTATCCAAAGACAATGAAACTATTATCCAAAGACAATGAAACTATTATACAAAGACAATGAAACTATTATCCAAAGAAACTATTATCCAAAGACAATGAAACTATTATCCAAAGAAACTATTATACAAAGACAATGAAACTATTATCCAAAGACACTGAAACTATTATCCAAAGAAACTATTATCCAAAGACAATGAAACTATTATACAAAGACAATGAAACTATTATACAAAGACAATGAAACTATTATCCAAAGAAACTATTATCCAAAGACAATGAAACTATTATCCAAAGACAATGAAACTATTATCCAAAGAAACTATTATCCAAAGAAACTATTATCCAAAGACAATAAAACTATTATACAAAGAAACTGTTATCCAAAGACAATAAAACTATTATCCAAAGAAACTATTATACAAAGACAATGAAACTATTATCCAAAGACACTAAAACTATTATCCAAAAAAACTATTATCCAAAGACAATAAAACTATTATACAAAGACAATGAAACTATTATACAAAGACAATGAAACTATTATCCAAAGAAACTATTATCCAAAGACAATGAAACTATTATCCAAAGACAATGAAACTATTATCCAAAGAAACTATTATCCAAAGAAACTATTATCCAAAGACAATAAAACTATTATACAAAGACAATGAAACTATTATCCAAAGAAACTATTATCCAAAGACAATGAAACTATTATCCAAAGACAATGAAACTATTATCCAAAGAAACTATTATCCAAAGACAATGAAACTATTATCCAAAGACACTGAAACTATTATCCAAAGAAACTATTATCCAAAGACAATGAAACTATAATCTAAAGAAAATGAAACTATTATCCAAAGAAACTATTATCCAAAGACAATGAAACTATTATCCAAAGACAATGAAACTATTATACAAAGACAATGAAACTATTATCCAAAGAAACTATTATCCAAAGACAATGAAACTATTATCCAAAGACAATGAAACTATTATCCAAAGACACTGAAACTATTATCCAAAGAAACTATTATCCAAAGACAATGAAACTATTATCCAAAGACAATGAAACTATTATACAAAGACAATGAAACTATTATCCAAAGAAACTATTATCCAAAGACAATGAAACTATTATCCAAAGACAATGAAACTATTATCCAAAGACAATGAAACTATTATCCAAAGAAACTATTATCCAAAGACAATGAAACTATTATCTAAAGAAAATATTATCCAAAGACAATGAAACTATTATCTAAAGAAAATATTATCCAAAGACAATGAAACTATTATCCAAAGACAATGAAACTATTATACAAAGACAATGAAACTATTATACAAAGACAATGAAACTGTTATCCAAAGACAATGAAACTATAATCGAAAGAAAATATTATCCAAAGACAATGAAACTATTATCCAAAGACAATGAAACTATTATCCAAAGACAATGAAACTGTTATCCAAAGACAATAAAACTATTATCCAAAGAAACTATTATCCAAAGACAATAAAACTATTATCCAAAGACAATGAAACTATTATCCAAAGACAATGAAACTATTATCCAAAGACAATGAAACTATTATCCAAAGAAACTATTATCCAAAGACAATGAAACTATTATCCAAAGACAATGAAACTATTATCCAAAGACAATTAAACTATTATCCAAAGAAACTATTATCCAAAGACAATGAAACTATTATCCAAAGACAATGAAATTATTATCCAAAGACAATGAAACTATTATCCAAAGACAATCAACGCACTTGAAATTGTAAAGAGAAAACTTACAAGGTGGGTTCTCGTAGCCACCATTTCCATGAATAATGACCTGGGGTGGGTCTGTGGTGTCAGGCTGGTCTTCATGTGGGCTGGGGCAGCACAGCTTCTCACAGTAGCCTTCAATGCAGGATGGGTAAGGGGGGACAACTGGCTGAGTCACTGAAACAAGCAGACCTCAACAGGTTAGATACATTTAATCAACAGTGAATTTATTAATAATGCTATGTATTGTAGTATTTAATTAGTAATTACTTCTTTAATTTACCAATGCTAATAGTTTTGTTTCTTTTAATGATTTTTGAATATTAAGAATTCTTTAATTATTCAATTGGCTACTGGTTAAAAACATAAATAAAAACGTTTTAATTTATTTGTACATAAATAATAATAGTTTTTAAAGCAAATGCATGAAACATAAATTAATTCCAAATTATTACAACCTATTATCAAGTAAAATTAAAATCTTTCATTTAAGTTATTTCTAGTGACAGTTTAGCCAAATTACATTTTAATTTGAAGTTTTTTTTTAGTATAAAAACTTATTTTAATATATTTGGACTTAAATCTAAAAAACTGGCATGTTTCTTACTTCTGCTGGTAGTGCTTGATATCATGACCGGCGTTGTCCGCAATGTTGTTGATTGTGTGGACGTTGATATAGTTGACATTTCTTGAACCACTTCAGTGGGTGTGTTTATTGTGGTGCTGTTGGCACCCATTAGGCTTGGGGTTGATGATGAATCTATGTTGGGCAAGTTGGCTACAACCGATGAAGAATCTGGTTTTTGGCGTTCCAGAATGTACAGCCACGCCAAGGCTACAACACTAAATAGAAAAGATTAAAAAAAATTTTTGATAAAAATTGAATAGGTTTTAATTTTTAAACCCACCAAAACTGTTTTGTTTAAATATTATTTAGAAATATATTAAAATATATTGATATATATGTAATAAATATTATTAATATATCTTGGTGCGTTATATGCAAATTAAATTAATATTTTTACCAAAATAATGTATATAATATATATTGTATGGTACATTCCAAAACTTTAAAACCAATGGACTTTAATTCACTTTGAAAATCAGTTTTCATTCTTTTAAATCTTGCAGAATAATTATCTAGTACATCGTGAAGACAATTTCTCTATATGTTGTGATCACAATGCTAAAATTTACTTAATCTTGCCAAATCACCATCGGGTATAAGAGGATGCTCAATCAATTTTTCTTTTAATTTAGTGCTACTGAAAAAGACAATCTCTACTTCACCTGCTCTAGTGATAATTTGCTATGTCTAACTACTTAACTATGTACATTTTACTAGCTTACCAAAATATCATGATGAAAATCAAACATATGTTGGTGATGTATCTGAAACGCTTACCAAAATATCATGATGAAAACCAAACATATAATGGTGATGTATCTGAACCGGTTGCTGCAGATATTTTTCAATGGCTGGGAGAACAAACTGGCAAGTGAAGATTTGCTGCTGCCCATCATGTGATGACTGCTATGACTGCTGCTGCTGCTGTGATGCTCGTGATGATGTCTCTTACTGGACGATGACCTATGACCTGATTCTTGATGAAGACTTGGAGTAGAACTGAAATAAAAAAAAATTATTTACAATAAAAAAATGTAACTATAAATAACATAGGCCTACTCATAAAGATAAAGATTTACAAAAGAAAAGAATGCACTTTTCCATTATGTAATTCTAGGCATAACGGCTTTCCCCTTTACATGACTCCAGCCTTAGCTCTAACTTTATCACTTTAAAACCTAAGTTAAACACTAACACACACTTTAGCCATAACAACAAGAAACAGTCTTAATTTCATTTCAAACATTTATTTATTTAATTTCAAATCATTTTTTTTTGTAAAAATTAAAACTTGCCAAACTACACCACAATAATGGATTTAATTTTTTTGTAATCTTTAAACAGTGTAATTTTCTTAAAATTAAATGAAGGAATTAAAAAAAAATAATGTATCCAAAATATCTAGTTACCTGATGGTGCTAATGTTTGACCTAGAACTGAGAGTGCTGCCTGTGGATTTTAAACTGTCAAAACGTTTGAGTTTCCCCAACCTTTGGTTCATCTTCTCCAGCTGATTGATGCGCACCTCCAAGTTGTCCGTCAACTTACAAAGCTCTTTGACGGCTCCCACGTTTTCCATAAATATCCTGTCCTGTTCACAGTGAGATTAAAATATATATTTTATTATTACAAAAATTAGTTTTATTATAATTATAGTACCATAAATCTACAAAGGTAAAGAATCATTTTTTAAAGGTGTAAAATGTAATTAAATTAATTAAATTAAAGCAAGCACAATGTTTCAACATATACCACAATAAAATGTATCAGTTTCCAGTACAACTGTCATTTTTAATACAATACAAATATGAGAAAGCATATTTTAAAACATTATAAAAAACCACAAGAACAATCAATCTATTTTTATCTCACATTTCATCATCAGAATAAAAATAAAACTATCTTTTTAAAATGATTTGTTTGAAATATTTTTTCATTTTTTTTAATATCAATATCTCATTACACCATCAATTATTCTATACTGCAATTAGAATTAGATACTGATTATAAATAATAAAAGTATTTTAAGTTATGTGAGACAACAACCTTAAGCAAAAAGTATGAACTGCTTACTTTATTCACAACTAAAAAATTTTCAATGGTCTCCCCATTAGAGAGCACCACATCACCAGTTTCCTGTACAGCGTCAGGGATAACTTCCTTGATCTCCTGGGCCAGCACGCCTGTCTCCACGTGGTTGTCACGGGGGATCCCCACCTGCGAGGCGTACTCGTCCTTGTAAGAATACTTGTAGATGCGCAGCTTGGAGACATTTTCAAGCTGACTCTTAGGGTTTATCTGATGAAATGTAAAACTAGGAATTACATTTTGTTATTATAAAAAAAAAATTATTTTCACTTTTTTAAATCTCATACTTTGACGTTTGATTATTCCGATTTAGTAACACTTTCAGGCCAGATACATGTCATGGCCAAAAAGAACAAAATAAATAAACTTTCTGGCTGAGAATCTTCTGTCCAACTTAATTTTAGCTCCAGTTAAAGGCATACTGTGCCATATTAAAAACCATAATAAAAACATTTACAAAAAGAGTTAAGTAAAGATAGGATAAATATTAGCCAAGTGTTTCACCTAAATTGCTGTTCACACTAAGTAGGCTTATATGTTTATGATGAAATACAAAATTTTCAAAATATAAGATCACTCTTTATATATCCCTAACTTATTTTTCTTGTGTAGAAACAATCTGACAATTTAATTTAATATTGTTGCTTTCCTTATAAGCCACAACAAATGGTTAAATTTAATATAAGTTGGACTTGTCTAAATCCTCCACCATATTCTCAATTAAGAATGAAGAAGAAGAAGAATATAAGCCTAATAATCATTAGAAATAATGACTTTGGAATACAAAGGTGATTAGAAACAAAGTTATAAGTTAAACTAGAGCTCACCTCTTGCACATTTTTCTTGACTCTCATATCAGACGGCTGCGTCAAGTGTCCTGTCAGTCTCATGTTGCCATGGACAGTTAAATTTTCGTCTGGGTGGTCAGTGTTGACCCCCACCCTCCCCATGTGGAACACTGATTCCTGTGTTTGGCCCTTCTGCCACATGACATCGACATCACTGTCAAACTGACCTGGGTTGGAGGCCTGAAAAACAGATATGTAGCTAAAGCAATATCTTTAAAAATTGTTATTAACAAATTCTAAAGTAAGACCTAGAACATTGTACGAACATTAAAGCAATATCTTTAAAAATTGTTATTAACAAACTCTAAAGTAAGTAATTGTATTGACATTATTTATAAATTTAAGTTCACTAAATTAATATAAAATCCACTTCAACATTTTATTTACATTCTGCAAACAATATCAGAAAATTTAAAAAAAAATACTCAATATTGAAAAAAATAAGACAAATTAATTGAAAACAAACACTGTTTTATTTTTTTTTTAATAAAGCTATTAGAAAAACAAAACATACCCCCTTTTTAATAGTGCTCTAAACTTCTTTAAAAAAAGTTTTATGCAATAAACTAAATAATCCCGATCAAAAAACAAATAGACCTACCCTGACAATAATTCTATCTGAAACATTTCCAACCAGCATGTAATCCTTATCACCAGTATGTGCGTGCAGGCTGACTACAAGCAGAAAGTAGCGCTGGTCTGGGTTGGGCTTCCCCTTCTTCCTCATGTTGTTGCTCGTGGTCTCGCTGAAGTGCAGACGCCCCACAGTGACCTTTGTCTCCTGGTCAGCTGTGAGGTCAACCCTGTTGAAATTGTCACATCTAAATTTTAAAGCTTTTTCCATACTATTTTGTGTACAAATCAAAGCTAAGTATTGTAGCTTAAGTTCAACATTTTTTTACTCTGACACTTGTCATGTACTCACTTCACTGGGTGGAAAGATTTTTTACTTCTGTCAGACTGAGACTGTTCTATTTTTATACTCTGGTTCTGAGATTCCATCTGTAAATATGGTGGTATTCAAATATTTTAGCTTTATATCTATGAATCATTGTATTATAAATGTTTGCTTCTTTAGTATTTAAGATGTGTATTGCACTGTAGTAATTCAATTATGTAGCCTATTTTTTTTTTAATTTTCTGAATTTTACATATAAGCCTATAATTTTGTTTTAAATATATGAATGCATTATATTTTAGGTTTGGTCTCTAAATGTAAAATCTTACATTTACATTTTATTTTTTGAATTTCAAAAAAAAAAATTTATTTAAGAAACAAAAAATATTACTTATCTACCTTTACACCATAAAAATGAAGAAAGAAACTCTCAATTTTCTTCACACCATCTATGGTACGAATATATTTAGCATTGCCATGCAGGCGCATGTGAACGGTGACCTGGAAATGATTTTTTTTCTGGCACACAAATGCTTCATCTGGGACAGAGAAGTTGAAGCCTTTATCTGCATCTACTCTGTACTGTGGTGTAGGTCTGGGAATTTACAAAGGCAGTTTTATACATAGTTCTGCTTACAAGATTAGTTCTTAAAGGTCTACTAGAACAAAGATTAGCAGTTAATTTAGGAAATAATAAAGACTATTATAAAAATATTTTAAGAGAAAAATATGTTAAAAATTATAAATGTAATAAATAATTATTTAAATTGAAGAATTTCATAATTTTTAAAATAATTTCTAATTTTAGTTCTGATCTACTTATATTTAGGGGAGATTGAAAAGTATTTTTAAAAACTAGAATTAGTATTTTTTTATTTGAAATTTCAGCAAATAAAACACTGTAACTGATCTCAGAATCTCATCTGTGGTACTGTTTATGTTAAGTGACTTACAAATCCTTGAGGTCTCCGTCAGTTAGGATGACCCACTGGGCCTGGGAGTAAGGCTGCCACTTGATGACCTGATATGTGCTTTCAATGAAGGCATCGTTAGAATCCACATCATACTGCGGCAGGTCATCATCCCCACCTGGACAATCCCCCATGTAACTGCTGAACTGTGCACCTAATTTGTAATTATCGTTTCATTAATACCTTGCTAAACTCAGTTAAATATATTTTTTAAAATATTAAAATATAACATGAATATTTCTCTATGTGTATGGGGAAAATAAAAATTAATTATTTGTTTTATGAAAGTCTGCTATAGTTAAATATAACCCGCGATAAAAATATTATTTGAGAGGTTTCTTTCTTTGAGACTGTGTAAGACATGTCGTTGTAACTCAACTTTTTATTAACAATTAACTAAATAATTCTTCTGAGATAAAATGATTCTATAACTTATAGGACTAAAGTCCTCTACATCATAAAGCCAGTTTAAATTACCCACATTCTAAGGTGTGTTTTTTCAATAATTTTTGTACAATTTCTTTCATGATTAGTAGGAATATGTTTCTGCATTATATTACTGCTCACTTAAGGTCATATTCACATTTATAACACACAGCTTACTGCCATAATTTTATTTAGCTTATTCTTGTTGAAAAATAAGTTATCAAATAAAAGCTGTTCACATACTTGAAATAAATTAATTACTCAGCAAAGATTAATTAACTCATTAAACTGCCAACAGGTCACTAACAACAAGCTGGCTGTATAAACAATAGTGACTTTATTTTTGTGTATACACCTACAGATTGGTTGTAATGTATAAACAATGGTGCCTTTATTTTTGTGTATACACCTACAGATTGGTTGTAATGTATAAACAATAGTGACTTTATTTTTGTGTATACACCTACAGATTGGTTGTAATGTACACCTACATTTTTAATGAAATGTATAAACAGTGGTGCTTATATTTTCAGGTAGGTCTAGAGTTTTGTTGAAACATTTTAATGGTGGTGGGGGGGGGGGGGGGTTAATAAAGTCTTTGTGTGGGAAAATAAGAGTTCACTGTGACCTATACTGTTAGTCAGAGATCAGAGGTCAAGGGTGGGAGAAACAGTTAGTTGAGACTTACGTCCTTTAATTGACCTTTAATTAAATTTAATCAATGACTTTTAATTGGTGAGTTGAAAGTTAAGCTCAAAGATGAGATGAGTTGAGAGTAAATTAGAGACTGAAGTTCTAAAACACCCTATGATGCTAAAGTTTTGACTGGGTTACATCCAGCACCCACCTGGAGGCTCCTGTTTGATGCTCATGACGTTGCCCATGCCATGCATCATGTTGGGGTTCAGGGTACCTGTTGGTGACTCGGAATATTTGCGTTTCTTGGTTGACTGACTGGCGATATTTGACAAACTGATGAATAAACATGAATCATTATCTTAACATGTTGCTTCATCAATAGCTAAATGATGATGATGACGGTAATTATGATGATGGAGATGGTAATGTTGCTGTTATTGGCAATGATGATGATGATGGCAAAGACAATGATGTTGATGGTGTTGATGATAATGATGCTAGTGCTGATGATTATGATGATGATGATAATGATGAAGAATATGTTGATTTTGATGTTCACAATGATGATGATGCTGATGATAAGGATTAAAATTTTGATGATGATGCAAATGGCATTGTTGATGATGATGATGATGCAAATGACAAAAATGATGATGATGATGCAGGTGATAATGATGACAGTATAGATAACAATGATGAGGTTAATGGCAAGATGATAATGGTCAAGCAGATCACAACAAAAGCTTACCTTCCCATGTGTGTGGGTAGGATGGGGTGGGACAGGGGTGGGGAAATCTGTTGTAGAGAGGTCATCTGCTGACCCATAGATAAACCAGAGGGGTACTGCATGGGTAACCTCTGACCTTGCTGGTGCTGGCCCTGGAGGAGGTGGTTGAGTTTTTGGGACTCCCCAATGTAGGCTGGGGGAGCCTTTGTGGGCATCCCCCCCAGCCTGTTGTGGCCGAGGTACATGGACTGAGGCAGGGTGGGTAAACTGCCAGGTATGGTCGACTTCAGATCTGTCAATCAAAGACATGGTATATGTGAGTTGAGTTAAGCTCACAGATGTGATTTAAAGAGTTGAGAGTTAAGCTCACAGTGTGATTTAAAGAGTTGAGAGTTAAGCTCACAGATGTGATTTAAAGAGTTGAGAGTTAAGCTTAAGATCTACATATCACAGGGTGTATTTTCTAGAGCCTATGTATTTTTTCCTAACAGGAAACAACAAAAACTTCAAGTAATCACCAAGAAAACTGTCTTTTTTAACTGCTTGATATTACAATATAAATAAACAGAATAAGAAATATTTTTTAGTAGTTGACTTTTCAAAAATAGATTGAAAATTATTTGGAAATGAGGAATGTAAACAAGAGATATACTTTAAATGATACAGGATATGGTGGTATGTGATGACTTTTGGTGTCCCCACAGAGGCAATGATGTAAGCCATGTACAATGATGAGAATTTTAGTGACAGTGAATTGAGAGATTTTTTTAATTTTTAAAGAATAATAGATCTAATTATTTAAAAGATTTAGATATTTGAGAATTTTAGTCCCTAAGAGTTAGAATAATTTTAACCTGATGAACTAATACATTTAGAGTAATGAGGGTTTAAGCTCTAAAGAGTTAAAAGATTTACATTTTTGAGAATTTTAGACCTAACGAGTCGATAGATTTAAACTAATGAGGGTTTTATCTTCAGAGAGTTAAGAGACTGACCAGCCAAGGCTTGATGGTGAAGGGTCCCATCAGGGGGGGAGTACGGCTCTGACCCAGAGTCTGGGGGACTGTCCGGTAGTGACCTAGAGATATAATGTGGAACAAGATAACAGCACGGCATGATAAGTCATGATACAATAACTATAGTTTTTGTTTGAAAGACAATAGTTTCAAGTGTAATATTTGGATTGTTAAAGATAGCACTAGGGAATATAAGTTTTCATGTAATGTTTGGGTAAATAAGAAAACTTTTATTCAGGTCATTTGAAAATCAGTTATTCGCAACTAAAAATACTATTTTAACTGCGTGAAACTTTATGGTAACAAAAATAACATACAGGTAACAGAACAAAGGCAATACAGGTTGCACATAGTACATAGGTACACACAGTATGTAGGTGTATACTATATACAGACAACATGCAAGTGTACATAGATGTTCTCAAATAATACACAGATGTACACAGACAAGGCACAGGTGTATGTAGACAACACATAAAAGTGTACAATGTACACAGGTGTGCTCAGACAACACACAGGTGTCCTATATGGAAACAAAGGTATGTATGAAGACATTCATACAATAGCCCAGTGTACCAGTGGCATAGACTGGAATTTATTACAAGGAGGGGGGAGGAAGTTCAAAACAAGTTCTTAATACATATACATTATATACATATACATATACATTTTATATATATATATATATATATATATATATATATATATATATATATATATATATATATATATATATATATATATATATATATAAAGGCCATATATGAAATGATAAACATAAATAAATTGTGTATACCTTGGCCAATAACTGTAATTTAACAGAAAGAATTTTCATTTTAGGTTTTCAAGGGGTGTTCTGCTACCCCCCCCCCCTCAACACACCCTGCCTGCTCACTGTATACTACTGTATAGAGATCAAAGGATAATGTCCTCAACTTGTGGAGGCACACCTGAGGACATGACAGACACTTGTCCACTATATTTAGCACAGACACCTTTCAGAACTTTTTAACCTAGATCTATCTATAAACTTTATAATAAACTTAACGCTACAAGTTTTTAACCAAAATGTTTTCATGAGACTAGATCTTACATTAGTCATACAAACCTAGATTTAGGCCTATCTATTATTAGGCCTAGGCCTATATAATAGGTATTTATCTAATTAATTAAACACATCTAGACATCTTGATCATAATAAACTAGAATCTATATGGCTCCTGAAAAAGTATAAATACTTTTCTTAAATACCAAATTCAAAGCAAGAATAATTTTCCTACCAATCATCGTGTACCAAGAAACTAACATGTAAACAATTTGCTTGTACTCTTTTTGATAAAGAAGATTACATTGTCTAATCAACGAAATAATTATTACATGTTCACTAATAAAACGAAAATTACTCCATCGTGTGAGAGTCGTGGACCACCTTCATAACAGAAACTCCTTTCAAATTTTTCAAGTTAACCAGAATCCCCAACACACAGACACAATGCCGGGGCCTGAATATTCAAACGGCTTCATTGTCTCCTAGTTTAGGCGGGGGTCCCTGATTCGGTTTGTAGGTACATCCTTGTCACATAATGCTTGTTGATTTAGTCGTGTGTGTGTTTGTGTACAACTGGATGTGTGCGACAAAGAGGGGGGGGGGGAGTAAGGTAATGTGTAGCGTATTGAGTTTTGGGAGAGTGGAAGGGGTAGGGGTTAATAATATTATTCTAAAATGGCTAATTACAATGTTTGAAAGCTAAAAAAAAAAAGTTGGTTATTTTTAAAAGTTATTGCCATTTTATGAAAGTTAAAGTTGCAACTGTTTTCAAATAAATTAAAGCCCTTTTTTTTCAAAACCTGGCTAAGCTTTTATTATATGTAACAGCCGCTAATACCTTCAATTCGGAAAAAATTTCATGTGCAGGCCTATGTAGGAAAAAGCTAATTCAAGGGAAGCTACTCCAATGTTCAACTGACTCCTGCTTGCTAGTGGTACATTAACATTTCAACTACGGGTTAGTAAACAAAGCTAATTATCATGTAGTGCTTGGTACTACCAGTCTCTTCCCCCGGCCGCGCCATTAATCATCTAGCGAATATGGTGGTAATGGTATTTCTTGATAAAACATCAAACTCAATTCTTTACGATGAGAATACATGTGATTATGTCGCTGTTTAAAGGTATTCGCCTTTTAATCAAAGACATACTACAGCGATTATAATCATTATAGATCTACTACTCTAGTTTCATCGAAAACTGGCCTGAAAAGCATAACAACATATATGTTCAGTACTGTCCTTTTCCAAGAAACATATCACCCGAACGTTCAACTTTTTGAAATACATTATTTCAATCTAAAAATGTCATTAATAATTAACAGAACATATGTTCATATACTGTTTTAAAAGCTTGTTTATACAATTAAAAAAGCAATGTTAAAAATTTATTTTGTATTATTTTACAACATGTTTTTGCTCCTTTGAAATCAATTATGATGTATGTGTAGTTTGTCTCCCTTGGTTATGTTATAATTATCGAATGGGAAGTAACCTATGTACTTTTATACACATTTAATGACGATCTCTCTCTCTCTCTCTCTCTCTCTCTCTCTCTCTCTCTCTCTCTCTCTCACTCACTTTCTATATACATACACACGCATATATGTATATATAATATGGAAATAGTTATTACAATAGGAGATATAATATGTAAGTTAAAATTATTATCATTATTATTAATTTAATTAAACTATCATATGTTTAGTAAATTATATATATATATATATATATATATATATATATATATATATATATATATATATATATATATATATATATATATATATATATATATATATGAGTATTTAAACAAGAGTGTCAATAGCCGAATTTTGCTACGATAAATACACCAATAGAGCAACTTAAAACAAAAACTGGTGACTTGCTTACCTTTATGTTTACGGTTAACTTTTTTATAACTTTACATTGATACAGTCTGTACCATTTCATACCTAATCACATCACTTCATACTCCACTAAACTTCCAAGAAATGGCATTGGCCCATTTTATTAAGGTATAAAAATTGCTTACATTTACAGTAAATTATTTTAACGAAAATGCGAGTCACTGTATTAGCTAGCGAGAGAAAAATTTCAGTAGGCCTGTTTAACGATTGTAAAATTACGAGTTTGCGAGGTCGGACGGTAGAGCGCTCGACAACTAACCAGAAAGTTTTGAGTTCGGATCCCAGCTCTGATGAAAACATGACTCACGTTAGAGAGAGTAAAGGCGGCTGGGCATGGTGCTTTCCACGTTATCCATGCAAATGTCGCAGCGACGGAAACTGATTAACTCTGTCCACCCCTCCCCCACATACACACGAAACATACATACCCATACTATTATTGCGGAATATAGCCCTGTATTTTCAATTGGAATCTGTAGGCCTACGTATGGTATTATGTATATGTGGTCAACGCTAATCAAAAGGTGCAAGATAATTAGGCCTGAAGTGTTGAGGGGCCATAAATAGCATAACGCCTCGCATTTAAACATATTTTTCTATAAGTAACGCAGCAAAATCGAAAATAAAAAAAACGAAGCAAAACGGTTTACTAAGCCGATATCTTTATTAATATTGCCTTCTACTACAAATACGAAAATATTTACCGACGAAATGAATATTCCAATATCTGAACGATAATCTCTACTCATGGAGTTTAACTCATTGTGGGATTACTTTCTGTAGCGTGTAGGTTTTATTCTAGGGTTAAATTTTTTAATTCAACAAACGCGGTATCTTTGATGTGAGATTTAAACTAAGTGCGCACGCCGGGTGCGCTTAACCTCGGCGGCAAGACAACTGGTAACGGCGCTATTCTGTTGATGCACCAGGAAATCGGGTGGTCGTGGGTTCAACTTTTGGTGCAGACAAATATCATCATGGGCGGGCCGAGAACAGGATGGGCAAACATTGGTGTAGACTCATACGTTTAGAAATACACTGACTGATTTTAACAGCAATAAAAGTATTTTTAAATTTATGGACACGTTTTCTTTATTCTTTCGTCGTTTTACCATTACTTGAATCTCAACCTCACGCTAAACCTAATATGGTTTTTTACTTTCCCCAACTTAAGCCAATTACCCATCCTAGCTGAGTTGGCCTGTGGATACACCACGAGTACCGGGATTCAGAGTTTCTTCCAGGCATCTCTTCGGGGGGGAGGGGGGGCTCTCCCCCCCCCCCCGAAGAAAGTCTACCGCCCCCCAAACGAGATGGATTTTATATAGTAAACATACACTTTTACTAGTGTCCGCCCCCCCGACCCCCCCCCCCCCAAATGTAGACCGCCCCCCCCCCCCGAAAATTTCAAAAGCCCCCCCCCCCCCCCCCGGAGAAAAAGTCTGGAAGAAACACTGCCGGGAACCGAACTCGAGACGTTCGGAAATGTTTATGAAATCTATGTCTAGGCCCCCCATGCGGGAAACGAAAACTAGAGAAAAGTGTCAAGGGGGTCCAAAACTGGACCATTTTTATTTGACAGAAAAGATAACGTTAAAAAAGAAGACAACAAAATGTGGTCCACGTTATAAGAAATCAACGTCTGACAAAAGCGATCTCTAACGATCTTGGCTATTGCCTTATTCAGTGAACTGTGATATATACAATATATACGGAGAATTGACAAAACCAAAAATAGATCAGAAGGGACATGCGCTGTCGTGTACTTAACTAACCCGTGTGCTAAATTCCGAATCGCCTTTAATTATATTTATAAGCGAAGATTTTTTTTATTCAAATAGATATTTTGGAGAATGTATTGCTAGAGTTCTTTAAAACATGGCAGATGGCCGTGGTCTGAATGTGGTGTAAAGTTGATGAAGT